GGGACACCCAAGACGGACAGGTCATAAAGGAGAGTTCTGACTAAACGCGATCCACCTGGAGCAGGAACTGGCAAGCCACTCCAGTATGTTTGCCAAGAAAACCCCATGAACAGAAACAAAAGGCTAAAAGATATGATACTGGAAGATGGGCCCCTCAGGTTGGAAGGCGTCCAACATGCTACTGAGGAAGAGCAGAGGGCAATTTGGTTGGGCCAAAGCCGAAAGGACGCTCAGCTGCAGATGTGCCTGGAAGTGAAAGGAAAGTCCGATGCTGCAAAGAGAAACGACAGAGGATGAGATGGTTGGACAGTGTCACTGAAGCTACCAACATGAATTTGACCAAACTCTGGGAGGCAGTGGAAGACAGGAGGGCCTGGCATGCTCTGGTCCATGGGGTCACAAAGAGTCGGACATGACTTAACAACTAAAGAACAATTGGCATCATGAATTATTCAGAGCAAGGCGCTCCTAGTTGCTGAAAGTCATTCATCTGTTGCCTCAAGTTTTAAATACTAGGCTAGAGATGCTTTTGGTGTGTCATATGTGTGTCATCAGTGTGAACTGACTTGAACTGACTTCATTTGAGGCTTGGTGGAAAGACACAGTAACCAGGGCCCCAGATGTGGAAGCTATTAGATTTCAGCTTGGATTGCTGTGAGGGAAACAACAAAAATACATCTTTCTTTTCTTTTTTGCAGTTTTCAAGGTTCTAAGGTGGCTAGCAAATGCAGAGGGAAGACAAATTAAAATACTAAAACATGCAGTTAAACTTGTAATAATGTTAAAAGACCATAAAAACCTAAACTAATTTAAAATGAAAAATGACAACAAAGAGAAGCACACATAGAAATTATGAAAGAAAAAAACACCACAGCACTCTCTGTTCAAAGCTCCCTTCTGTTCTGCCAATCATTGACCAAAAGCCTGCCTGAATAGAAAGCCTGTTAGATAGCAAGAAGGAGACTGACCTTAACCCTTGTGGAAGGGAGTTCCACAGCCTATGGACAGCCATGGAAAAGCACCTCTGGTGAGTCTTCACCAGACATGTCTGATAGGTCAGTGAAACTGAGAGAAAGTCTTTCCCCAAAGTCTTAAAACTGTGAAGGCTTGTATATGTGGTCCTTCAGTGAGTCTGGTTTGAAGCCATATAGGATCCTATAACTGGCAGTTAGAAATTGGTTCAGAAACAATTCAGTAACCAGTGGGATTCCAGAAGCTACCTGTAATTGGCCCTGGTCTGTAGTTTGGCAGCAGCAGCATTTTGGACAGCTGCAATTTTCAAACACTCTTCGAAGGGAGTGCACTCTATTGAATTGCTATTATCTGATCTTTTAGAACAGAGGTCGTCAACTGCCAGTCTTCGGCCTGAGCCGGACTGGGCTGCGGAGACAGACCTCCTCCCCCCCCGCACTCCCCTCCCCATAGCTGCTTTGCGCACGCATGCGTGTGCTAGTGCCGGCGTGAGCGCTCCCCCACCCCTTCACATAGGCATGAAGGGGTGGGCAGGTGCACGGGCAGGTATGTAGGTGCTCCTGCGCACGTGCAGAGGGGTGGGGGAGCACTCACGTCAGCGCTTCGTGCATGTGCCTGAGAGTGCACACATATGCACCTGAGAGCATGCGCGCCCACGTTAGTGTGGGGGGTGCCCTGCCTTCCTCAGAGGCTCAACCGGTCCGTGGTTTTAGATTACCTGTTACGGTATCTCCTAAGAAGAAAGCCAGTACAAGGCAGTTTGGATCATGTGGCAAATTGATGGCCCTACCTCCTGGAAGTGTTTTTGTACATCACTAGTTTAAGATTTCTACACTCCAGTTGTAATGGTCAGAGGGATCTGTAAATATCCCTATTTGTCTGAATGAATTAGGAAAAGATACAGTATTTGTATAACCTTTGAGGTCTTACTTTCAAATTATTAGAAACTTGACTAGCATCCATGGACTTTAGAATCTTGTGAGCAAATATTCCAAATATTATATTCTCCTGGAGTTTTGAGGATTAGCAACTTCCTTTTAAGAATATACAATGGAATTTGAAATGTGAGGTAAGATTTTCTGAGCTATCGGATGGCACTGTTTGTAACCAAACAACACCTTGCTTGTTACATAAGATGCAGTTTGCTGCTAGTCTTATACAGTAGAGATACTTCTTTCTTGTAATAAAGAATGTAGTCCACTATTTGTATTGAAGCAAATTTCTGTGCTGTTTTAAAATAAAACTTTAAGTAGTATTGAGTTGTTTATTGCTTCATAGCTAGTCAAGCTGTAAGTACAAACATCTGGTATATATACAATTAGAAAAGCATAAAATAATAATCGTTCTCAGATAGGTTTCAAGTTGTAAGAGTAACTTTAAGGGGTTGTGAAATAGGCAGTGAATTTGTCTTTCCATGGCTCGTTTATAGAATTTAGTGGTCCTATAGGACAGTGGTCCCCAACCTTTTTTGAAATGCAGACCGATTGGGGGAGAAGGGTCCGTGCGCAGAGGGGCGGGGCTTGTTCGCGGATGGGCAGGGGTGCTCACAGATGGGCAGGGCGCATTCACACATATGTGCGGATGGGCGAGGTGTGCTTGTGGGTGGGCGGGGCACTTGTGTGTGCATGGGAGTGCATGGGGGGAGTGCATGCGGGCAGCAGGAAATCTGTCTCCATGGCCTGGTCCTGTCATGGCCTGGCACGGACTGGGGGTTGGGGACCCCTGCTATAGGATATATAGTAGTCTGTGCCTGCTAGCAGGAATGAGTTAACTCTTATTCCTGATCTTACACCCCCCATCATGTTCTTTAAATACTGTTATTTTCTCTGCAGTAAAGTGGTTGAAGTGTCTCTGTGAGGTCACAGTCCCATAACTAAAAAAACTATTAAAAAACCCACTTATACCACAGGGAATGAATCTCTTGTTAAGTTACTGTTGTAATGTAGTTATGCCTATGTTATTGTGAAAAGGAGTTGGTTATAAATATCTAGTTATTTCTAAACCCCACTCCTTCTTTTTAGTCCAGCAAGTGCTCTCAAGGCTTTTAAAAATATATTCAAAACACTATGTAAAATCAAGAAATGCAAATACAAATAGAAGCTGAAGAGCTAAGATAGAGACTCACAAAAACAGTACCATCTAGAGAGTAATCTATAAATAGAGGTGTCATACTTTAAAGTAAGTCCATCACCTTCAATTGGATGTTTTTCCAAGACAGATACATATTTTATGGCAGAAGAGTGCCCTTGCAAGATACACTACAGGGAGACACAACTCTGAATCTTTCTTCTTTGTAACAGCTTCTTTCACCTCTGAGTTTTAGGGACACTGGAAAAATACCTTTCTGGATAATCTCAGCGTCACTGTGAGAAAGCATTCCTTCATGTAATCTAGACAAGAACTTCTAGAGCTTAAGCGCCAAAAACTAGCACTGTAATCATATTTATATTTGAGTGGGAAGTTCCAGTTTCTGTTTCTGAATTGGAAAGGGGCATTAACTACCCTTGTGAGTCAGCTGGTCCTTTCCTTATGCTGTTAGTAAGTAGAATATTATTTTGAAGGTGAAACTGATAGGTAATTTTATTTTTAAAAAGACTTTAACATTGGATTTTAAAAAAAAGAAAACAGTTACCAAAAAGGAGTGGAAGATGTTTCCTGAGTGATGATTGAAATGCTTGAAAATATGTGTTAGCCTTTTTTGCTTTTGTCTACAAGTCATAAAACCAGACTGCCTGAAAGTAATAAGTACCAACTCTTTTAGCAAATGTCACATTGGTTGTGCTTTGTAGCTTTGTGCCACTCATGTCTTTGTGCCTTCTAGCATGCTGTTCCCTTGTTTCTGGAACAAGTTGCTCCTTCCTTATGTAACTGGCTTCTCTTATTTCAAACCCCTCCTTGCATACTCAGTGTTTTCAATGAGTGGTCTCTCCAGTCTTGAAAGCTTGGGATGGGTATGAGTTTTGATTAAAATGTATTATTGGTTGTGTAACTGAGCTTTGACGAGGAGGAGAAAAGTTCTGTAGCCCTTTTTGTTAGGTTTCTGCTTGCACGTGGAAGATTCTTGAGCAGGGGCCACTACAGGAATTCTTGCAATCCTGTCTGTATATCAGGAGTGAAACTAGTATGCAAAGAGTACCGTTAAGTGGTCATCCTTGCTATTAATGATAGAAGAAAGCAGTGTCTTTTGTATGTGCATTCAAGTGTTTTCAGGATTTTTTCAACTAAATTTAGCACATTGAATTGCTAGGAAAATGCTTGAGCAAGGGTGGGTAAAGTCTTGCCCTTCAGATGTTTTGGTCATCCCTCGTCAAGAATAGCCACCATTGAGGAATGTTGGGAGTCGTGATTGTCAAACAACGCCAGGAGGCCTGCATTTTGCCCACTCCTGGGATGGAGCTTTATAGTAATATACAGTACCTGTAATTTCACCATCCAGGAGATGCCACAGGCTGGAGGACCTGAAGCTTCCAGATGGTCCTCTATAGCACTGGTTCTTAACCTTGGCTTACTCAGGAATTTTGGACTGCAACTCCCAGAAGCCTTCACCACCAGCTGTCCTGACTGGGGTTTCTGGGAGTTGCAGTTCAAAAGCATCCGAGTAACAAAGATTAAGAACCACTGCTCTATAGTATCTACAGTAAGGGTGTGATAAAATAGTGTAGGTCCTCCTGATTTATCTTCCAAGAGCTTTCTTGGCATTTGGGTAGCTTCTGCTGCTTCTAAATAATCTTAGTTTTCCACTGTCTCTTCTGTTAAGTACTGCTAGATAGCTCAGTGATTTAGTCATCTAGTTGCAGAGCCAGAGGTTGGGAATTTGCTTCCCCACTGAGCCTCCTTGATAGGAGCTGGACAACATGATCCATAGGGTCCCTTTGAGCTCTGCAGTTCTAAGATGATGATGAACTCCCTTCAACATTGTCAATTCTAAACTTGTGATTATTATCTGTATGAAAAACATAATACACTCTTGGTGAAAAAGTTTTCAAATAATGCTAATCTTTAACATTGAAGTCTGTCTTCTCCTCCAGAATGCGCATGATCAAAGTTTATACTGCTTCACTTGGCTCGCTTGGCATTATGCGTTTTTTTGGTGTGTCCTGGCCATGGAGCATTGCAGCGGCTCTGGGAATTTACATTGGCAGTGGTGGCTGGACGTTCCTCCGGATCTTCTTTAAGACAGCCTTAAGAGATCTTTTGTAAGTACAATCTCCTAAAGTGACCAAATATTCTCTCTCTCTCTCTCTCTCTCTCTCTCTCTCTCTCTCTCTCTCTCTCTCTCTCTCTCTCTCTCTCTCTCTCTCTCTCTCTCTCTCTCACTCACTCACTCACTCACTCACTTTCTCTTTCTTTTGGTTTCATGGATAATAAAACTGTTGCCCCAAATGATCGATATGTTTGTAGGAACTTTAATGGGGTGTAGGATATAACTCTCCCCTGTCCAGCAGGACACAAAACATGGTTGTAAAATGTTGCATACTTTTTGCATGCACCCTCCTGCATAAAAATGTGGAGTTTGTTTGCTTCGTCTACATGAGTGTGCAGTGAAAGCATATACTAAATTGGCTTTGTTGCTGCCCTAAGTACAAAATGAGGTCAAGCTATAATGTTCTAAATCTTCTGATTATTATGTCCTGCGTACATATGAGGTAAGTGAACCAAGCCTTCAGAAGCTTAGTTTATCTGAGGACATGATTGAATTAGATGGCTTATCTACACTAAAGGAACTATGTTCTCATTTGAAATATAATAAATGACTTGTAAAGAGTCAGCCAAACTGCTGAATAAGCAAAATACTCCAGCATTCATAAACATATGTGAACATTCCCCTTGACTCAAGGCTGTTGAAGTTGAAATATATAGATACAAGTAGACAAACATTTTAGTGATAACATTCCATTTGACTGTTAAGATACCAGGTAGCTGAGGCCACAGACTTGAGGTGACCTATACTTTCTGTGATTTTTTTCTCTCCATTTCCTTTTTAAGGAGAAAAGCAACTATAGGAGTTGAAGGTAGGACCAATTAGTGGGTGGGGAGGGAAAGAGGGAGGGGAGGTTTCTTAACCTTTTCTCCGACAGCCATTTGTCCATTCAAAATTGCTTTCTTTTGTTCCAATGGGGAAAGGCGCAGGAATAATTAAGAGGTATGAAGGAGAGAAAATATTTTCTGAATTTTTCCAGTTTTCTTCCAGTCTCTAGGGAAAACCTAGCATCAGAACTCTCCTCTCCCCTCAGGATTCCTGTAGGTGGCGTGCATGTGAATGCATGCATTTATTGTAGAATCCTAAAACTATTCCACTAAGAAGTCTTCTGAGTTCAGATTTCTGCTTAGCCATGACATTCTGTGAATGGTTGAACTGCTTTCAAGTTCTTAGTCCAGTATATCAGAGGACAGATATGATACTTAAAATGAGAGAAACCTTGTTTGTATGCTGCAGCAAAGGAAAAAGTGTGATGGGGGCTATCTTCAAAACCAGCTTCTCATTTCTCCTTGGTACTAATGCATGCCTGAGAAGTAGTACGAGATCTGTGTATAGCTAATGTTCTTGTAAAGATGTTGTGCTATTTCCTAAACAGATGGGTTTCTGGCTTGGAGATGAGAAATGTAAGATAGATCCCTGACATTCTCATCTGCCTGTTGCACTTTAACTGAAATCAGTACCTATTTTCTGCAGCCCTAAGGTTCCTTTGTTGTCCAAGGATTTAGGGCTGCTGCTCTCACAAAAACCACATCACTTCTTGTAGAGGCTGTCACTGCCCTCTGGATTTCCACTTCCTTCCAATTGCATGGCGAGTGAGAAATAACCGCAGAGAATAAAGCCCCCTTAAAGCTATGGAAAGTGCAGCAAATGTTTGAAAAGGCTCTTCTGTTCCTTTCCTGGCAGAGCTTGGGGTAAGATCACTATGGCAGGCCGGCCTCTTTTGACAAAATGCCAACTGTCTATTATTAACTCAGTCTGTCTTCCCTCAAGGCTCCTGCTTTGGACAATCACGGTCAGGAGGGGATGTGTGGTTTCTTAAGATGCCACTGATTTTGTGTCAGTGGTTTATTTCTCTGAAGAATCTTCCAGACTTCTCTTTGATCAAAAAGAAAAGGATGCTCCTTGCTGGTTTCCTGGATTTGGGAGAAATGGAATGTTTAAGAACAGCATAGCTGGTTGTTGTAGCATCTTTATTATCTTTCTTTTGGGTTTGGACAGTATAACAACAAGGAAAATAAGCATTATTGTGTATAACAATGGAAATCTTTGAATACTCTAAAAATCAGAAAAATCAACTGCTCTGGCTTGAAATTTTCTCTTTAAAGAATTCTCTAGTTACAGATGCCAAAGAGCTGTTTCAATATGGCTCCAATTCCAGGTCATTGTACATCAAGCTGTCTTCAGGTCTAATTTTAGACTTTAATTAGGCTATGCCAGCATTCTGTGGCATAATTTCTAGGCAAGGCTCCCCAGTGAACACAGTAGGACAGTGTGCATCGAATTTAGTTTGTATTGCATTGCCTACATGAGAGAAAATGTCATCGAACTTTGTGAGGTTTACTTTTGAATAAACATCTTTAGGATTGGATCCCCTGCCCCAGGACCAAATATTTCTGGTGTTTGTGTCACCTGTTAGAACTGGAATGCTTGTTCTGCTAATTCCTGAAGAGCGTGCAATTGAAATAATGTTTAGCTTTGCTTCAGGTTTAGACATGCTGAAGGACTAAGGCATAGATGAGTCATTCCCAGCCTTGGGTCTCCAGATGTTCTTGGACTAAAGCTCCCAGAAGCCTTCACCACTAGCTGTGTTGGCCAGGATTTCTAGGAGTTGTAATCCAAGAACAACTGGGGACCCAAGGTTGGGAACCACTGGCATAGATCCTTACATGAATGGGTTACTTTTTGCTTGCTCCGTTCTATTTCTAGACAGAATGAAGGCTGAAAATAGAGCATTAAACTTGCAAAGTGTTTTCTCCCTCCTCTCCTTTTTGTTCCTTGTCTGATTCGTCTTGCGCATTCATCAGAATGTGTGTAATGTGTTTTCTATAAGAAGTCTTATGTAATCATAAGATATCTTCTTGAAAAATGCAATAATTCCGATACAGAAGTTGCACCATTACCTATAAATTCCTCTTGTGCTCTGGTTCTAAATGCAAACAGCTTTGAATTGTACGTATAAGCAGGGGTGGGCAACATATATTGTATCCCACAGGTGGCTTCCTGGCACAGAAGTTAAACTTAGGACTGCAGTCAGGACTCTGCTCACAACCTGAGTTGGATCATGATAGGCTCAGGTAGATGGCTCAAGGTTGACTCAGCCTTCCATCCTTCCGAGATCAGTAAACTGAGTACCCAGCTCGCTACCAGGGAGTGGAGGCAATGTGTAGCCTTCATACTTAAATTGTAAACTGCCCAGAGAGTGCTTTAAGTGCTGTGGGGTGGTATATAAGCAGCACACTTCACTTTTTGCAAAGTGCATGGAGCCTCCCCCAGGAAGCTCCCCAAAATTAAAAATATCTTTTAAAAACCTTTTTTATTCTCATAAAGTCTTCTTGTGCTCTCTTATGGGCATGAAGAGTAATTTTGCTATGTTTGGAGGGTCCCTTGCTGCAGATCCCCATATCCATAACAGTTTTGTGCATATTTTTGGACACTAGAAGGTTCATGCAGGTGGGGGGGGGGTTCAGTTAATCCTCCTTTTTTACAAGAATTTTTAAGGGAAATAAGAGTAAGTTTGGCTTTCGGAGGTAGAGAGACATACCATGGACCTCTGAAGATTGCCGACGTTGGTATAAAGGATGTACATCCAGCTATATGCATGACGGGCTATGAGGTCTGATGTAGAGATATGAACTGTTTAGTTCTGTTTTCGCTCTTGGTTCTGCATACAGCTGTATAAACAGAAATCTGAATGCTCATACATGTTTGTGTATACTGTTAAATGTAGTTGTTCTCTCAGTGGAGAAAGAATTTTAGGGACAGTGTTAGGAGTTTAGCTTCCTTTAAATAAGACAGGACATTTGTTCGCAGAGCATAGTGAGGGCTGATACATACTTCTAAGCAGATAGTGTCACTCCTGTCTCTGCTTTCCTTCTCCAAAACAAGCTAGCTGAATTGCGCTTTCATTAAAGTTTAGCGTGAACCCACAGCATTCTTCTTGCCTTTTCTTGCCTGGCTGGAAACTTACTTATCAGATGTTTAATGTGCACCAGAGCTGAAGTTGCTGCATCGAATTGGTGGCCTGTGTCTCATACCTTGTCAGTTAGCCACAATGGGCAGTGGTGATTTCTGTGATTCCTCTTGCATGTTCATCAGTGTCCAATAGGATTTTGGCTAATGGTACCAAACTGTAGCTTTCTTCTTTCCGACTAACTGGAGGCTATATTTTCAAACTCCCATGATGAATATCTTCCACCATGACAGGAGAGATTCCCAGTAAACAAGGCAGGATAATTCATTTGTTTTAATCCCTTAATGTTAATCAGGCATTACGCAAATTCAGTGCTAGAGAAGTGGCAGAATGAGTTTTTCAGAAATTTAAGACTAGGCTGTAGTGTATATCCTAGCTTCTTGTCCCTAATTTAGCTGAAATAAATTCTATGAAGTGATGGTGGGAGGATGGAAATTACAAAAGTTGTACAAAATATGAAAAATTGTGCAAACTGCCTTTCTTGGTGTCGAATTTGGATTGCCACTTCACAAGATTTAATAGTTTTCATGTGGATTAGATATAATTCCCAGGGGTTAGTCTGGCATAATCTAATCACCTTTTGTATTAAAGTAATATGTACAAAATGGCTCTATCTCTTGAATGATGGGGAAGCGGCTGAAGTGATATCTTGGCATATTGCAGTCCTTTTTTAAAAAAAATTGGTAGCATTAACTTATATGCTAAAGTAACTGAGATTTTTCTTTCCTAATTACAGAGGCCTGTCAGTACTTATACAGGTAAAATATAAATTGTACTATCACCGGAAAGCCAAGAGCAATATTCCCAAGATATTTCAGGAGGTGGTCCGCAGACATCCAGACAAAGTAGCCTTGATCTATGAAGCAACTGATGACAGATGGACATTCCAGCGTTTGGACGAATATTCCAATGCTGTGGCCAACTTCTTCTACCAGCAGGGCTTTTGTGTTGGAGATGTAGTTGCTATCTTCATGGAGAGTCGACCTGAGTTTGTGGGCTTCTGGCTAGGGATGGCCAAAGTGGGCATTGAAGCTGCCCTCATCAACTTCAACTTGCGCCTTGATTCACTGATTTACTGCGTGAAAACCTCTGGAGCAAAAGCCATCATTTTTGGTGGGGAGCTTTCAGCAGGTATGGCTTTGATTGGGTTGTTCCCCCTTTAGCCAAGAGTAGCTACACTATTTTTGGAGCCTCTGTTACTGTCAGCTATTGCATTTGGTTGTGTGGTTACACTACTTAAAAATAATGTTGCTTTTTCTGCTATGGAGTGTGTGACCCTTGTATTTATTGAGAATTGTCCTTCTGGAAGCACACTTTTCTTTTGAACCAAGGTGCATGCTCCCCACATGCCTTATTCTATAGTTGATTTATACTTGTGCTGAAATACCATTGAATTTTCATAATGTGCCGGAATGTGTGACCTTAGTATATTTTAGAATGTGAGAAATCCCCCCCAAAGAACTACTGAAGTTTTCTGCTCTTGTCTTAATCAGTTCTTCATTTGATATGAAGGTAAAAACTCCAGTACTCTGAAAAGAGAATTATTTTATCAGGCGGACATTCTGGAAAATGGATTGGTTTCTTAATTGCTCAACTGGAGATCTTTAGTGGAACTGAAATAAGTTTGTTCTTACTGTTTATTTTGCTGCTTATTGAGTTGGCATAGAATGGCCACCTCAAGGCATGGCTCTCAAGGCATAAAGTATTTCTTAAAACAGGACCAATTTTAGTAGTAAATCTATATTGCTATTGTATAATTTCAGCATCTTGAAAAAAGCTTTAGGAGGTTGGAATTCCGAGATACAGTGCATAAAAACTATGTAGTTCTAACTACACAAGACACCCTACATTTAGAAGCAGAGCTCTTTTAAGTAGTAAAATATACTTGCTTATTTTAGCATAGGCTTTTTTTATTTCCACATTTGGCAAATTAGATTGCTGTGTTTTGTGATTGGTTATTTGGGGTTAGCAAGTTTCGTTTGCAAGTTTGATTGCAAATGCATCTCAGAGGCCTACTGTGTTGTCAGCTTCTAATTATAAGTTCAGCAATCTGTGTAATTTAGTCCTGATACAAAGCCTCTGTATTCAGCACTTTTGTAGTAATGTTGGCCATCTAGATCAGTGGTTCCCAACCTTGGGTAACCCAGGTCTTCTTGGACTGCACTTCCCAGAAACCCTGACCAGCATGGCTGGTAGTGAATATTTCTGGGAGTTGCAGTTCAAGAACACCTGTGTTATCCAAGGTTGAGAGCCACTGATATAGAAGGATTTCTAATACAGAAGATGAGGTACAAATGTTTTAGTGAAATATCCTGTTTTCATCCAGAGGACTTGGATGTATGTAGCTTTGCTGTGTGGGGCGTAATCTGTAATATTTTTAATAAATATGAGAAGCGAATGTGGCTTTGTTAAGAGGTATAGTGTGAAAAGAGCTTGCAGGGAATGGCTGGGGAGGGACACTGTGTGGAAAAGTACAGTATTAGAACAGGAGCTTTCATCTTTCACTGAATACCTGTAGCATGGCTTTGGATATTTATTTTTATGGCGTAACAAACTGAAGAAAATCTCACAGTTAAGAATGATAATTATTTTGAAAATAAATACTGTACAGTGCCTGCCAGCTGTGGTGTGGAATCACATCCAGCTACAATTCTGAAAACCCAATGCATTGAATGCTTACTGTTTCTGATAGACTGATGGTTACGTTGCAGCAATATCTGAAGTGAATGGCTTGCTGGGGAAAAATATGGTCAAGTTCTGTTCTGGAGACTTCAGACCTGAATCTATCCCTCCGAACACCAAGCACTTGGATCCCCTTCTGGCTGAAGCCTCCAAATCTCCTCAAGCTCAAGTTCCAGCCAAGGGATTAGATGGTATGTTTTCTTACAAAGGTTTGAGTGAGCCACAGATCTGCCTACAGGACCCGGCTGGATGCCAGACATTCAACCCCCTTCCCTTGCTTGTGGCACACATTTCATGGGATCTTTCTGCCAGATTCATGTGACTTAAGAGCCCAGTCAGGCACCTGGCCTAGTTCCAGGAAGAAGTGGAGGATGATATGTTTAGGGCCATGTGTTTGGTTCAAAGAGTAAAATTCCCCCTGACAACAATTGCTATGGACTGTGGGAGGTGAGGCATGCCCTTTGCTTGTTGTTCTGCCCTGTGTTTTCAAAGAACCTGCTTATAAGACAGGTGGATTATCAAGCTGACCAGAAGCCCAGCCTCTAATTCATGTCCCATGTCCATGTTCCCTTTCTAGATCGGCTGTTCTACATCTATACTTCTGGTACAACTGGAATGCCGAAGGCTGCCATTGTGGTGCATAGTAGGTGAGGAGCATCAGTGCACCCCTTCTTGAAAATTGATCTTCCCCTGCTGATATCCAGGATCGTTTTTATTTGTGGAGCTTTTTTTCATGTATACAAATATTAGAGAGATGCATCTCTGTTTTGGCTGTGGCCACTTGTCTTTAAAGCTGTTTTCTAGGAGTTAGATCTATTATTCTCTCTTTGCCTCTTAGAATTGTTGATTGAAATCCTGTTGCCAGAATTCACTCTGCGTATGACTGTTGATGTCATCAGTCATGGTGCTTTTTCAGAGGTAAAAATGTTCTGATCCACCCCACCTGAAGGTCCTGAGGATCCCTGGGATCTCTTTCATCACAAGGAAGCCATTGGGGGCCAAGGGCCTTGGGAAGGGGAGACTTTGATTTTTGAAAATTGCGAATGCTGGGATGCTTTTATTGGTGGCCGTAATTTTCAGTAATTAAAGACTTCCCCGTCCCAACAGTTTCCCTATGGCAAAAGGTATCCTAGGGGAACCTCGGGACTTTTGGGGAGTAGGGAATTGGAAATTTTTAATTTCTGAAAAAAATCACTGCAGTTAATGACATCGTTAGCTTTAAACAATGTAAATTTGAGCCACTGTGAGGGAGGTTCAGAGTGTTGTAAGGCACCATGTGTCACTCCTGATAGGATAAGATTTGTGGCATCCAGAGTAATTGCCCAGGAAATCAGAGGCAATCTTCACTCCGGCTCCTAATATGTGAGATAATGGCCCAGAGGCCAACCTTTAAGAGTTTCCCATTCACTTTGGCACTTTACTCCAGCCACATAGGAAACAAAGAAAGAGCCTTGGGTTTGTTTCCCATTTGATTTCCTATTTGGAATTAGGAACAATTAATCATTGCCCTGGCCCCAGGTGTGGAAACTGTGTCATGGGTGATCATTGTGAATTTCTGGTGATGACACTACTTTGAATATACAGACATGGGCCATGTTTCTAGTGGCTAAAAGTTGGAAGAGATCTGCCCAGGGGTCAAGATGCAGGGAAGAACTGCAAGTATATCTGGAAGTTGAGACTTGGCAACTGGACTTCTTCCTTGTTAGGCTGAATCGTTTTGCTACTCATCCAAGTAGCATTTAGTCTGAGGAGAGTTGGGAGGAGACCCCTGATATATCCTCCACATTGGTTTCACTTTCCCTTGGTCTGAATGGAGGATATCAGGGATCTCCTACCAGCTCTTCTCGGACTGAAGAAGCTACTTGGATGAGTAGCGAAATGATTCAGCCTAACAAGAAAGAAGACCAGTTGCCATGACTCAACTTCCAGATAACCTCATCTGGATGATTGAGAATCTTCACCGATAAACTACAAGTATACTTAGGCCTGGAGGGGGGAAAGCTTGATAGAGTGCTGCACGAGATTAAAGGATCTGAACTGACTCAGACTAAATATCTATCTGGCCTAGCATTTGGTTTGCACAGGAGCCAACCAGATGCAGATGGGAAGTTCTCAAGCAAGACACGATGGGAGTAACGCTCGCCTCCTCCAACCACTGACTTATGTTGGTCAACTAAGTGCTATTGAAAATTCTGTTGCCTCGTGATAATGGAGTTAATAGCTAACCAGCCTGGCTAGCATCCCTTGATAGCATTATCTTCCACTGCCTATTCATCTTTAAAAGCCATTGTGTATTGAAGTCTTCAGTTTAACTATGCTTTTATTTGTCCCAAGTCTCCTACCCTGTATTTCAGTGGGTGACCTTGCGTTCTAATATTACAAGACAAAGAAAAACATCTACTCATTTGCTTTCTCCATGCCATGCAATTCTGACTGATCCCTTCTATTCATTTTATTTCAGAGCAACTACAAACATTGCACTTTTCTTGTAACGGATTGTTTGTGCCCTTAATCACTTGATGGTTGTTCTCTGCACTTTTTTGCATTCTTCTTCTAGTGGTTTGACTGTGACTTGCAGTTCTCTTTTTCAAAAGCAAAGGAATAAGTTCTAAAGCAGCCCTTCTTAATGGGGGCCATATGGTCCCCTGGAATGCTCTGGCACGTTCCACAGACTGGAAACAATTCTTCCCAAACCACCCTATAAAGTTTGTTATGCAACTTACGCAATCCTGATTCGGACAATATTTCTTTCACGTTGTATTTATGATCATGGCCAAAAAAGGTTGAGAATGGCTGCTCTAAAGGGCTCTAACCACAGTGGGAGGTGGAATAATGTGTTTTTATAAAATTAAAGCTGCAAATAACTCGAGCAGAAATTATCCCCCCCCCTTTTAAAAAGCACAGAGGATGTTATCTATTGAAACAGGGCTATTTAAGAAGGACAACAATCCCTCCCCGATCAGTTGACGTTTATGAGGCTTATGGATGGATTTTCTAACGCAGGACCAGGCAGGTTCAAGGGGTTGTTTCCACATTGAGCACCCAGCATGTGAGCACCAATGCCCCTTTCCAAAGGGGGGGGGGATGACAAAAACTGAAAAGGCTGGAAATCCATTTCCAGTTCTGTAAAAGTTATATTTCCTATTTTTCTAAAGGTGTAGAGGGAGGCTGCACTTTACTAAAATCATCATCATCATGTTTTAAAAACTTATTTCCCTGGTGGGAGGTTCCAAGAGGTTAACTGGAGGCCATAAAAATGGCCTTGGAGTGCAATGTGCAGCTCTTAGGCCACGCGACCCCCGGCTCTCTCCAGGCTTTCATTCAGAGCTTCTGCAGGTGAAATTATGTGGGTTTTTCACCCTCTCATTCAGCTTCTTCTGAGATATATTGGAGAACAGGAATGTAGGATCCTATTGGCAGTTGTTGCATATTGTCACCTGTGTATGTAGTATTATCACCAGGGTAACAGGTGTGTTCATGTGATCTGACTTTTGGTTGTGCAAAAAATATGCTTTTGTCATATGTCATTTTTCCTCTTGAAAGAAGGAAGATGGATCATATCCCCCACTTTCATGTACATATGTTCTCTGTTTCCTTGTAGATACTTTCGTATAGCAGCCTTTGGTTATTATGCCTACAGAATGACTCCCCAGGACATAGTCTATAATTGCTTGCCATTGTACCACTCAGCAGGTAGGCAGGAGTTATTGCTTCTTTTTTCAATCTAGAAACTGGCTTTAATGTTGCCAGTAGCACTCGCTGTTGAAAGACATTGCCATGGAATCATGAGAAGCCCACCTTACTGACCACGTTTTTTTCTCTTTCTCTTAGGAAATATTATGGGTGTTGGCCAGTGTGTGATCCATGGTCTGACAGTCGTGATCAGGAAGAAATTTTCGGCCAGCCGCTTCTGGGATGACTGTGTGAAATACAAGTGCACAGTAAGGAGAGCCCCGAACTCTGCTTGTAGGCACCACAGTTTGTAGGAGGTGGGAGCATATGTGGGGGAGGGTCTCCATGGCAAGACAGCTACAGCTCAGAAAGCTCAAGAAGACTATTTTACCAGTGTGAGAGAGGGACAAAATCAGAAGTTGCCATGCCAAGGTTTTACGATGAAACTTTATCAGACGCATTCCAAAGCTGCATATGTATTAGTTTCTTGCTGCCTTAGCAGTGTCAGTCATCTAAGGGCAACTGGTGTTGATGCTTTCTACTATATAGATTTTTTTGGAAGCTAAAATGCATGCTCAGTTGCTACAGCTGATTTCCTGCTGATTGTGAGAGAAGGCAGAATACTCCTTTTTTTAAAAAAGGCGTTAGAGACACAGTGCTGTTGCCTAATAAATCTGGGGTCATTGTTGTAGGTTTTTCAGGTTATTTGGCTGTGTTCTGGAGGTTTTTCTTTCTAACGTGTCGCCAGTCTCTGTGGCTGGCATCTTCAGATGACAGGAGCCCGAAAAACCTACAACAACCATCAGATTTCCGTCATGAAAGCCTTCAAGAACACAAATCGGGGATCGTTTTAAATTGTTTGAAACACTTTAAAACAAGCATAGACATTAGTGTCCTTCCCAATGTTTATGGCTCGAAATTCTCATAATTGTTTGTCTTTGCATGTTTTGCTAGAGTGAATGGGAATTGTAGTTTGAAAACATCTGGAGGACCACAATTTTCCACCTCCACTTTAAATCAACTTTGCCCAATTTGGATGCCTTCAGATATTTTGGATTTCATTTCCCATGATTTCTCATCACTGTCCATGTTAAGTTGGGGCTGAATAAAATTCTCATAATTGTTTGTCATTGCATGTTTTTGCTAGAACGAATGGGAATTGTAGTTTGAAAGCATCTGGAGGACCACAGTTTTCCACCTCCACTTTAAATCAACTTTTCCTAATTTGAATGCCTTCAGATGTTTTGAATTTCATTTCCATGATTTCTCATCACTGTCCATGTTAGTTGGACAAAAACTGTAGCTTTTATTATCTGGCTTAAACTCTGATGACTAACACCAAGGAAATTTATGGACGAATTTATTTTTTATCAGGGGTTGGGAACCTTCAGCCCTCCAGAGGTTTCAAACTACAGTTATCATAGTCTGTTGCCTTATTGGAGATTCTAGGATTTTAACCTAAAATGTTTAGAGTGGCAAAGTTTCATTGCTTCTAGCTTACAATTAATGACTTTAACTTTCAAGATACTGAAGGTATTTTTGGTATGCAGATAATGTTTGTCTCTAATTCTTAAAAATAAAAGCAAAAGAGAAAAGTAATTTTCCTTCCACTACATCTTCGGAAATTCTGGAAATATTGCATCTTGGTTCTATTCTTGCCAACTTTTACCAAGTTATTACTTGGTAAAGCTAGTTTCTCTTGCTTTTCCCAGATTGTCCAGTATATTGGGGAGATTTGTAGGTATCTGTTGAACCAGCCAGTACGGGAGGCCGAAAAACAGCATCAAGTGCGGCTAGCCATAGGAAATGGCTTAAGGCCCACCATATGGGAAGACTTCACCCAACGCTTCCGAATTAAACAGATTGGAGAATTTTATGGGGCTACAGAATGTAATTGCAGCATCGCCAATCTGGATGGAAAGGTACATGAAAGGGCTGCCATGGCAATTTATATTTTGAAGGGTTTATTTATTTGTTTGTTGCACGGAGACAGGAGAGTGTCCAGCTAACTTGTTACAGATGGCTTGTTGGGTGTAATTTTTGCAGACTCTTTCTTGTACTCTCAGTTTTAAAAGCATGTAAGCTGGGAGACCTCTTTCTAAACCACCTACAATTCCCTGCCCTAAATCTAAGCGTTCCTTCCAGTGGCCTTTTCTTTTCATCTAGCTCCATCCATTTGCAACAGAGTAAGTACCCTCCCTCATGGATGCCCCAAAGGCAGGGCAAGTTGCCAAGAAGCATGCAGCGAAAGGAAGGTGAAGTGATGTGAGTAGCTGGAGAAGTGATTGATTTAACAGTTAGCTCACTTCCCAGAATAGGTCACTAACAGATGTGACAGCAGTTTGCACATTTCTCCTAGCCTTCTCTGCTTATGACCACATCGGAGCTTACAGTTTCATTCTTTTGAATATTGATTGGTAGGGACTTCTATCAATGATTCATCTTCAATTATAGATTGCTACAAGTGAGATCCAGAACAGAATATGGCAGTGCATCTATAGTCCTGGAGAGGAATGCTCTTATTTAGGGTTCCTATCGGCCTCAAGCAGGAGTAATCGCCGCATTATCAGGAAGTGAAGTCAACTTCAGAAGTAATAAAAACATCACTCTTTTTTCTTCTTGTAACCTTTCACTGCTATTCTGTGTAGCCTGAGAGATCTTGTCCTGAACTTGAATATTTTATTCCTGTAGACCAAAGGTTATCAACCTTGAGTTCCCCCATGTTCTTGGACTACAACTTCCAGAAATCCTGGCCAGCACAGCTGGTGGTTGGAGTTGTAGTCAAAGAACACCCGGGGGCCCTAGTTTGGGAACTACGGCTGTAGATCTCATCCTTTTTCCTTTGTTTCCTCCTCAAACCTATCTGTATGTTTTTGGAGTTAGTAGGGTATTCATGTGCTTTTTTTAAACCCACAGCAGTTATTTCCCCTTTAATTCCTTACTTCAGGTTACGGTGAGCTGTTGGCTTCAGCATCTTCTAGTTCTCCATGCTCTCTAGTCTTCTTTTTGTTCTTATTTACTTCACTGGACACCTCAACATTCTGCACATCCTGGAAGTTCTTCGACCTTTGGTCTGGTGGTTAAAAGCATGCATGCTAACATTTAGAAACCATCGTGAGAGATGACTTGTGATTGCCATGATTTGCCTTCTAAACTTTGCTCCATCCATTAATAGGTGGGTGCCTGTGGTTTCTGTAGCCGAATTTTGCCAAATGTGTATCCTGTCCGCTTGGTGAAAGTTAATGAGGATACTATGGAATTGATACGAGATGCAAATGGGCTCGCTGTCTCCTGCCGTCCAGGTAAATATACTGTGAATGTCACATGTTTTGTATCTGAACTATATAATACAGGAGTGTAATCTCTGTGTCATGTCATTTTCAATTACTGTCTCACTAGAGCACTTCTGACTTTTTGACCTGAATGTTATCTTCTCTGTTCCTAGAACTGGTTGGTGGTAATTGGGGACTTCTAGGGTAGGGTTTCTTCCTCCACTGTTAATACAAAGACTGGTAGAATTGAATAAATACCGGGTGTGAGGTGAAGGACTTGGGGTGTGTGTGTGTGTAGTTTTTGAAAATAAAGATCTGCTTTTGGAAACTTCCCCTGCCTCCATACTGTAAACAGTTTTATTCAGACTTCTGCAGGCAGCTTTGACCATTGCTATGGAGAGGTGGGCTATGCATGTGAGATGCAGAGGGACTGAGGGAGGGGCATAGAAGCTTGAAAAAGAGCAAAGGAGTAAAAAGGCAGTGAGTGGCTGTTGGAAAAGAAGGCAACAGTGAGAAGAAAAAGCTGAAAAGAGACCTAAGAGAGATGACAGAGGCGACAGGAGAGAAGGTACATGGGTAAGACATGAAGAAAAAGGATGTAGAGCTACTGAACTGGTAGAGGAATAATCATTTAGATTTTATGTTTGTCTAAATGTTGCACGTTTTTGACTCAAAATGTGCCAGAAACATTCAGAATTATGTACTCTTGCTAGTTTTCATGTATGCTCTGCCACCACCCTTCCCCAGAAATGCAGGATTGTTCCTGCTAGGTTGCATTAAATATCTGTATGTATAACCTACACAGGACATGTTCTGCACAAATTGAAATGGAGTTTGAGGTAGAGAGAGGTGGAGGGTATCTCATGGAAGACACAGATGTGTACTGAGATAGTGGCAGTATCTTTGTGTCGTTCTGCCTGCATAAGAGGAATAATGTCCTCAAAGGCGAATTGCTGCCAACTGAAGAGTTCTGTTTTTCATTTCAGGGCTTGTGTTACTCGATTGCAAAGTGGTGAAACAGGAGCACACCTAGAAACCAAAATAGGGAATTCTTAATCAGTGGCGGTCAGCTGCTTACAGTGACATTCCCATTGCTCAGGCAGAGCTATGCAACAGGATACTAGCCAAAGATTCATGTATTGGAAATTCAGCAAAAATCTTACAGAGTCCAGGGCCTGAACACAGGTACAGATGACAGTTTCAGTTTCTCAGCCTTTCTGTTAGAATGTGGCAGAGGTAGCGAAGGGCTTAGAAGCAGACAAAATGCATCCAGCTAACTATAACTACTGTAGCACTGAATATCTTCATGACTTGTTATTCATCTGAAATTCATCTGTCTCTTTTTCAGGAGAGCCAGGCCTGCTTGTGGGCCGGATCAACCAGGAGGACCCCTTGCGTAGGTTTGATGGCTATGTCAACGAGAGTGCAACCAACAAGAAGATAGCCTACAATGTTTTCCAGAAAGGGGATCAGGCCTACCTTTCAGGTACTCTTCAAGGAGCACTTCATGTTGTACTTGGATAGATAAAGATGTTGCCTAGAAGAGATGCTCAGCCAAATGATGTCATCCTGTTGGTGTATATTTATGCCCCCATATTCTGGATTGGAAACTGGAAATATTTAATATAATCTAATGGAAAGCTTCTTATTCTGCCCCCCCCCCTCAAGTTTTGAGGCTCCCTAGGCCTCCTTTTGCTCTAAGGAGGCAGTTGGGAGCTTCAGGATGGGGGGGATTTAATAAGTAAAGAAATGCCATGAGATTTCCAGAAGCAGTTCTGATCCTGGTGATGGCAATCTGGATGAGACGTCTGGCTATTAATTACCTCTCCCTCCCCCTCCAACACACATCTCCTGAGGCTCCCAAAGACTTACCTGGGACAAAAAGAAACCCTAGGGAGCCTTGAACCCTAAAAAGGAGACAGGGTGCTTTTCATAAGTTACATAAATTACTTGTCGGAGCAGCTTTCCCCAATGTCATCTGCTCGATCCATCAGAGCATCACAGGTGAGGAGGACCTCAGGTGGCCACCCTGAGGGAGGCCCATAAATCATCTACAAGAAGCAGGGCCGCCTTCACAGTGGCTCTAACCTTGTGAAAATAGACAAACAAACAAAATTAATATTTTCCAGTGCCCAATCTGGGTTATGCCACAGTAAATTTATGGAACAGGATTTTGTCCTAAGTCCCATGACAGCTAAAGGCAGTCCTAGGTGTTTGAATTTTTTCTCTGGGAACAGCCACAAGGATGATGACCAAGTGGAAGAAATAACCTCTTGCCCAGCATTTCTATAGTACTGCTTCCAAATAATGTCTCCCCCAAATATGACTGATGAAAAAGCATGTCACTTTGTAGTTATGTTTTATGGATGAGCCTGGCAGATGGTTTGTCATGTATCTTATATTTTACATGCAACCTGCTAGGATCAGCAGGGTGGCTTAATGCCATAAAATGAAAGTCTAACATAAACTGTGAATAATAAACCCCAATTATATTGGAGAGGTAAGAAAATAACCATTAGTTATGCATGGCTGTGTTTGTAAGGAAACACTGGGCATATGCAAAGATTTTCACACGTCCATCGTAGTCTACCTCCTATGAATCCACAGGTTTAGTTCATTAACAACACTGTGAGTTATTTGGACCATAAAGGTGATGCACTTTTCTCCTATTTGCTAAATCATTTTTATCTTGATCCAGGCAGTTTGGGGCAGGGGAGCAACATGGTGACCTTACTCTGGTCCTCGGGTGCTCTGCCCTCAGTTAAAAGATACAATATTAATAATGAATGAAATGCAGGCAGTTCTGACTGAGCTCTGCTTCTTGCTTCAAAACAGGGGATGTACTAGTGATGGATGAGCTTGGCTACATGTACTTCAAAGACCGGAGTGGGGATACATTCCGTTGGCGTGGTGAAAATGTCTCCACTACAGAGGTTGAGGGAATCTTGAGCCACATCCTCAGCAAGACAGATGTTGCAGTTTATGGAGTAGAGGTGCCAGGTAATCTAGCTCCTGCTTCTGTGATGTAGAATTGGGGGTGGGTGGACTAGCAAGCAGGCATGTCTTGTTTCATGACCTGGGAACTGGGGCCCTGCAAGTAGGCTTAATGAAAGAGAAGAGTGAGCCAACTGAAACAGGCCCAAGGGTTTAACTGGTGCCTTATTAATGAGCTGCAATTTGCCACTAGCACCTAAAAATTTCTCTCATATAAATATAATTCAGCAGTAGGATTCTACCCATTGAGTAACTTTTTGGAAAGTATGTTTAAAAGTTACTTTTAAAAGGTCTCTCACCCTATTTTAGTTGTCATTTTGACAGGAATGTTTTGAGATTTATTTTATTTTACTTTCATTTCAGTTTCATTTACATGTTATGGGGATAGTCAGAATTCCATGCACCATGATTAAAACATACTGGAACATACAACAGATGTAGCAGTCTAAAAAGGATAAAATGCATTGCCATGAATATGGTGGATATACAGATAAAATTAGTTATACCCCAAAGCCAGCTGAGTCAGTTCTGCCTTATATCTCTTCCTGAATAGTTGCAAAAGTGTCATATTTCACAAGGATTGAGAAAAGGAGTTCCAGAACATAAGGGCAGCAACACAAAAATCTCTTCCTGACGTATCCAAGTTGGATAGATTTGACAGTAGCCACCTTTAAAAGGTCAGCCCCAAATGATCTCAGCAGCCACGGGCTCCAACAGATAAATGTGGTCCAGTAGGCATGAGTACCTCAACCCATCTAGAGTTTTAGAAGTAATAGCCAACACCTTGAATTGAACCCGGATGGCTAATGGCAGACAATGTAGCTGGCACAGAACAAGTATCATTTGATTCCAAGGAGGCACTTATCATTGGCCTAGCCACCAGATTTTCTACCATTTGAACCTATTGGCTGTCTTCAAAGGTATCTCCATGTACAGGAAATTAGCCTAATAGTGTGATTTTATTTTATTCTCTTACTGATTGTAAGTTCTTTTTATTGGCCAGAATTTTATTGGTGTTTGCATAATGTAAGTATAATTTGCTGCAGCTAACTGGCTAATGGATGAGGTGCTGGGGCATGTCTCATTTGCATGCTTGGTCACACGCACATTTGCACACCCAAGTTGCACCCCAGCCTCTTCTCAATTAGGGGTGAGCTCTCAAAAATCACCATGCAGCAAGGGTGGGCAGATAGCTTGGTCTTAGCCATGCAGCTGAAGTGACCTTGCTTTCCCCTTTCCTGCTTCTCTTGTCCATTGCACAAATTGACTGAAGCAGGAAGATCACTCTGGCCTCTCTCACAAGCCAGACAACTGCTGAGTCCTTGTACCCATCCTCCCAGCAGGCACACCAACAAAGGATTATCTGCCTGCTTCCCAGCGGATATGAATGCCCTTTATGATCCATCTCTCTGCCTAAATTCTTTTCCTTCTCTTCCTCTCTTTTCACTCTGTTTACTTGTTTCTCTTTGGTCATTTCTTTTGAAAGCCTGAGGGCAGAGAGTTTGCCTTATTTTTATGTGTGCACAGTGCCCTGCTGCCCAACAGCCCTGTGTACTGAATCTTAATTATTCCAGCTCATCTGGGGAATCAGTTTTTGAGTGAAAAGTGGCATACAATTTATAACAGGCAAATAAAGTGAAACCGAGAGGATAAGACAACGGTTGACGGGCATCTGGTAGAACATTTTCTTCGGTCAAAAGTTAGTTGGTGTCCTCTTGTTGGCTTTAATTCTTGACGCTGAACCTTTCATTTAAGTTGACAACTATTATTCAGTGACTCAGCAGAAAGGGCAGTTGTATTCTGCTCTAAAAAAATTTGCCAGAAAACCCAGCTATGCCAGTGAGAGCAACCAGGAGGAGTCCTTCAGCAGGCAGAAATAGACCTCAGCCTGTATGAACCCTAAAATAAGGCTATGTACAATTCAATGTGATATTGCTGTCTAAGTGGAACATTTGGCAGTGGGCTCCAGAATTCAGTATTCCTTATTATTTGTTTTGGACATTCTGACCTGTATCTTGAGATCTCAGAGAGGAGTACAGCAATTAAAAGCAATATAAGCAGAGTAGTTCAGTGCTTGAAAACCATTTGATTTCCAAACCCTGGTCTGTGGCCAAGTACCAGGCCATGGCAGGACAGGGCTGCCGAGACAGATCTCCTGCCCGCCCCCGCACGCACGCCTCCCCACACGCACAGACACACACACACACCCTGCTCACGAAGGCATGGACACACACATGGCCATCCCACATGCATGCACAGGTGCCCCGTCCACCCACCCACTCACAACAATACCCACACCCCTCCGCACGCTAAAGTTGGGGACTACTGGGGGTGCCGAGACAGATCTCCCACCCGCACGCCTCCCCACACGCACGGACACACACACACACCCTGCTCACGCAGGCATGGACACACACGGCCACCCCACATGCATGCACAGGTGCCCCATCCACCCACCCACTCACAACAATACCCACGCCCCTCCGCACGCTAAAGTTGGGGACTACTGATTTAAAGCATTAAAACATTAAGTACAGATGCCTCCACATCCTACTGAAGCCATGATCCATAATTCCTGAAGATTTCAGTGAATCAGTGTGTTTGAACACAGCATTGAAATGTGGTTAGTGTCAGTGTCAGGCAACCCTCTAAGGAGAAAGCATTCCTGAACAGAGATGCTGCAGCTCAGAAAGCTCTCCCTAATGTCTCCTGGAACAATAAAATGTTGCAGTCTCCTCTGCTTATGCTTTTTAAAATGGAACTGTCTACGAGGGTGTGCATAATGATACTGTCACACAAGATCAGGACAGTTCTGAGAATTTTGCACTTCAGAGTGAGTATCCAATTTCCAGTGATACATTTCTCCTTTTTTTCCCCAATAGCTATTATCCATAAATCCCCTCACCATTCCACTGTACTCAGGCTGAGGCTGCATCTCCCTTATTTTAACAGATTGAATAGTTACCATAGACTACCAATGGTATGTGTTACATTTAAATAAATTAAATTAAAAGAAATGTATGGTAATGCAAGGACAGGCTACTATTAGCAGAGGTTCCACTGTTTGAGGAGGAGTAGTTACAAATTTAGTAACTACTACTCAGACATCTGAGTAGGGACTGGTAGGATCAAGGAAGAGAAACAGGGTATGCTTGAAGATACAGCTGGTGGCAAGATGGAGTACCTGCTTCTTTGTGATCCATCCAAGTTTCTATAGCTGTCTTCTTGTGCAGGACAATGCACAAGAATGGAAGAAGGTGCAAGCTATCCTAAGTAACTGCTCTAGCTGCAACATAGAGATTAATTGTTGAAATTCAAACCTGGCTCAAGACTTTTAAAATTTGTGTATACTTATATTTTCTATAATATTGCCTGTTAATTGATGTAAGATGCCTCCTTATTCATTGTTCAGAATTTTTAAATATCACCTTTTAATGATGTTAACCACTGTTATACACTCATTGTTTTCAACTCTAAATATTGTCTTTCATTGTTGTAAGCCACCTTGGGTCCTATTCAAATGAACAAAAAACAAACAAACAAGATCTGAGCACAAAAGTTTGATTTTTTAAATAATTATTTAACTCTTACTACTCATGTTGTGTGAAAAGTAATTACTGTAATTGCATTGCTATAAAGGCAAATGGTTGCCTTATCTATTACTTTTCCATCACTTTCTGTTGGCCAGAATCCTATCTATGTTTACATAATGTCCACAGCTAAGACTATATCCTGAGCTCCTGAATAAAAGGATCAGTTTTCCAACTATGGATTTTAATGTTAGACACTAACAACCCTCCTGGCTGTGTGAAATGTCTTTTTCAGAGTCTGCTCTCTTTCTTGCCACTTAAGCCTTCTTTCCACATTTTAGGAGTGGAAGGCAAGGCAGGGATGGCAGCCGTTGCTGATCCAGAAGCCAAACTGAACCCTAACATGCTATATCTGGAGATGCGGAAAGTGCTCCCTCCTTACGCGTGGCCCATCTTCCTTCGACTCTTGCCACAAGTCGATACCACAGGTAATGGTACATGAGTAGGAGCTTTTTCTTTTGTCATGCAGCTTAGGAAGATGTTTAAGCTGTCTGTGGATAATTTGTGATAATTTTATTCTATAATTACCTTGTACTGGTTAATAATGTCCTCACACCCACATGAACCTTATGTCCAATTTCTTAGGAGACTGAGGCTGAAATAAAGGCACAGTAGAAATTGCTTCTTTTCAATACCTTCTATAAGCAGATTGAACATCCCAGTGACAGGCCAGTGCAACCAATAAGGCGTACACCCCCACTCACCCCTGATGGGTCTTGGTGACCTCATAGGAATCAAATACAGTTACTTAGGTGCTTGTATATTCCAACCAGCAGAGACTGGTTGTGGGAATTGACTCATACGCATATGCAATAGTATGCACATTCTCTCACTAAGTATCCATACCTACTCATTATAAAGCAACTGGACAAACTTCACTAAATTCTGTTACTCTGCTTTCTAGAGCAGCGGTCCCCAGCTCTTTTGGGACCACGGACCAGCTGAGGAAGGTGGGGTAACCCCCCCATGCTGTTGTGTACGAAGACGCACACTCTTGTGTGCCAGCGCACACGACATCGCTCCCCCACCCCTTCATGCATGTGCTCAGGGGGGAGTGCATGCAGGGGGGCAGGAGGTCTGTCTTTGCGGTCCAGTTCAGGCCATGGACTGGAGGTTGACAACCTCTGTTCTAGAGGGAAACAGGATGTGTTCTGAGTGGATTTCTTCAATAGGCACCCGTTTCCGAGTAGGCTGTTGATCAAGTTTGTGGTTAAAGAATCCATTGTCTGTACCCACAAAGCAGCTGCCTGTTTGCTTCACCATGCTGGCATTCTTGCCCACACTTGCCTGTGTTGGAATTAAGAGCCTTTCCATGATTGGCATAGATTCAGAAATCTCCTGCTTTTGCTTTGGAAAACTGAGAAACAGCAACTCTCATTTAAAAAGAAAAGGGAGCTGAAAGCAGATCTAAATGACCAAAGCAAACCAATGTATGACACAGGTGTCGTGATAGAAAATTAAATGTATCAAATGGTTGCTTTAATGAAATGAAATGAAGGGGGAGCTGTTTGATCTTTTACTGCCAAGTAGCAAGTATTAGCTGAGGGCATATGGCTAGTTTATACTCCAAGAGAACTCCACTGTTGTTGCAAGGCAGCCTGGGTGTTTTGTTGTGCTTTGTGTTTGAATTCTTAAAGATTGATCTAAATAAAGCTTATAGGCACTTGCTTTCACAGGTATACTTGCTCACTCCTGTCCCACTACCTTTGTCTAAATGTAGTGGCAATAGGACTCAGTAAATTATGCGCCTTACCAAAAAAGCTGAGGGCAATTTAGGTATCATCTGGAGGAGCAGCTGGGCATGCAGATTGCTTTTAACCCAGAGAGGAAAGGCACAGCCAACAGTTAGAGATTAAACATACACTTGCTTTGCAGTGTAGTCCTGTACAGATCTATTCAGAACAGCCACCTTTCAGTGTGACCTACTTCTATTAAGTGTGTGTAGCATTGCAGTTACCACCTCTTGAATCTGCAAGAACAAGAATCTACACTGGCAGTGTGGCTTGATTCCCAATTTATGCTCCTATTTGGATTAGGTGATCACGCGGAGATGGTGGATTATTTCAGTGCCAGTGTCCATGCTGGCTTCTCAATCCAGTGCAGTTTGATCTGCACCAGGGCTCTTTTATTTGATCCCACCCTTTGCCGATCTCCAGATCTTTTATAGTTCATTGTAAAGCTGGTGGGCTGTTTAGAGTGTTGAATGGCATTAGGGAAATGGGACAGTTTCCCAAAGTTCTCCATAACGTGCAAACACATACACATTGAGGAACTACTGTATTCTGCTGTAATTCACTAGAGTTATTCTATTTCATATTGATTTTTATCTTTTCTTTTGCCTAGAACTAAACTGATCTAGAGCTAAACAGACATATGAATGCAGTGATCTAGTGCTAAACTTGGTTTGTTAAAAAATATTTTAAAAGTACCTTGAGGCAACTAAAGAAGCAAGATCACAGTGTTTCCACTGTCCAAAACATAACACCCAGCTTAGTCACCAGCATATCACCCACAGTCATGCTCCCTGTCCTTTTGGAGAAGGAAAAAAGTTATCACATGGGGAAAACATCATTCAAATTGCTCCAGCTTTAAAAAGGGGGGGGGGAGAGAGAAGCCCCCTGTAGCGGGGTGGGGACTCCGCATCTGAAGCAAAAAGTGCTGTGCTGAAACTCACACATTCTGCTTCTGCACCAGATCCTGTACTATTTGCCAGCATAGTTGCAGCCTAGAACAGAACATATTCTATATTGGATTTATTACATATTTTTCGCACCATAAGACGCACTTTTCCCCCAAAAAACGGGGGTGGAAAGTCTGCGCATCTTATGGAGCGAAGAAAACAGATTATATTTTCCTGTTTTCATCTCCTAAAAAATTGGTGTGTCTTATGGAAAGGTGTGTCTTATGGAGCGAAAAATACGGTATGTATTTATTATATATCAGCAATGCCTCTCCCTCTGGGTTTTTTTTGTTTTGTTTTGTTTTTGTTATCAGTGTGTCTGGAAAAGTCTTACTCTGAATCTTGCTGAATTTTAAACTGTGATTATGCCTTTCAATTACAGTGGAGTCTCAACTTATGAATGGCTCCACTTACGTACTTTTCTATGTACGTACTTCTCTGGCCGCAAGATTTCCAAACAACTTGCAGCCGGAGAATCAGCCTACGGACCAGAATAGGGAGGCTGGGAAAGCGCCAAATTCAAATTTTGCCTCCGGATGCTTTCCAGAGCTTCTCTGCCGCCATGGGAGGCATCTGGGAGGTGTCCCCCCCCCACTGCCGATTGTGCTCCGGAGGCACGATCGGTGGTGGCGGGGGACCTCCGAGAAGCCTCCCATGGCAGCGGGGAAGGCCTCCAGAGGTCCCCCCCCCACCAACTCAGGCTTTCCCAGGGTGGACCGGGCCTGTTAGGGGAGGGCTTCCCCCAGTAGGCCCGACCTACTCCCCAGGCTTTCCCGGGCAGTAGACCAGGCTTACCGGGGGAAGCCCTCCTCTGGTAGGCCTGGTCCACCCTGGGAAAGCCTGTGTCGGCGGTGGCGAGGGAGCTCTGAGAGGCCTATGGCAGCGGCAATGGCGGTGGTGGAGGACCCCTGGAAGGTTTCAAAAAGGTAAAGTTTGTAATTTTTTTTAAAATTATTTTAATTTTGTGTGTGGGAGGGTGTTTCTTGGGTGGGTTATGGATTAATAGGTTTTCAATGCATTCCTATGGGAAATGCATTTTCAACCTACAGACTTTGACCTACGGACATTGTTCAATACGGATTAATTCTGTAGGTCGAGGGTCCACCGTATGTGCTGCAAGTAATTTGCTTTTTAAAGTAAATAAGAATAAAGCCTACAATCTGATTGATTTCTTTCAACTCCAGTAACAGCTATTTTTCTTGTCTCGCCACTTGTTTTCTCTATTGAAAAGTGGATACTTTTCCTAGTCTCTTGTTTTCATTTTTTTGCAATAGGCACTTTCAAAATTCAGAAGACCCGGTTGCAACGGGAAGGTTATAATCCCCACCAGACATCTGATCGGTTATATTTCTTGGATATAAAACTTGGCAAGTATGTACCACTGGATGAATGTGTATATGAGAGGATCCAGGCTGGAAAGGTCTCTCTTTGAACCTCCAAAGCTGCGGGTGAAGTCTGATATTGGAGGGCCTTGCCTTGGATAGAGATACAAACTTTGGTAAATAAGCAAAGCAAGGCTTTTATCTACAGGGACAAAAAGCAGCTATGGAGTGGGAGCAGTTTAGCCTTCACATTTCAAAACATCACGTTAACCACTGTCTGAGTGAAGAGAGCAGCTCTTTTTTATCGTTCAGCCGTTAGAATTATATATTTTCTTCTCTGTAACTATTGCATTGGGGACTCCAGATGAAACAGGAAGAGTTTCTGGCCTTCATGAATATCTTCTGAAACCCTCCGTGTGATGGATGTGACTGAGATTGATCACATAGAGCACTGCCATGTGGGTCGACTGTTTTGAGGCAACTGCAAAATTGCTATGGATGAAGCCTCTAATTTTTTTTTTGGGGGGGGTGGAATTTCCAGGTCCATAATTTACACATTTAAAGTCCTTCAGTTGCCATCGCTGTGAAATCTGCTCCTGTGTTGGGGGTGGAGGTGTGTGCGTTAAGGGAACCAATTGACTGTCCAAATGCAACATCCTATTTTTCTGCCAAGACAAGTGGTTGTTTTAAAAACAGGATTCATGTTGGTATAATACTGTGGGTGTTTTTAATGGATATTTAATTGCACAGAGAAACATCAAAGGAAATGGCTTTGCTTTTGATGGTCTGTCTGAAGAAGTGTGGTGGTGCTTGAAAGTTTTTACCCATCTACAGAATATGAATTGGCTCCATACGTTTTGTCCATATGGGGGAAGTCATGGATTTATGCTCTTCTGTGTATTTATGTCGGCATAAATGCCAATTCTTGGGCACGAATGTGATGTTCTTGCATAATGACTTGTTGCCAATCCAGAACCTCTAGAAACAACTCCAGAGCCCTGGGCCCAAGTGTGGCAACATTGTTTCATTTTGCTAATCCATCCTGCTCTGTGGAGGAAATGCATCAACTGATGAAAGCCTGTTTGAAACATACATACCTTTTGTGTTCATTTCCTGTGACTGAGGGCATTTCTTACTCTAGAGTTGTTCATTACAACAACTGCTGGAGTAGGCAGTAAACTTTCTTTTTTAAAGAGGATATAAGGGAGTGTTGAGTCTTTGGAGTGACCATATATTCAAAGATGCTGGCCAGAATCCTATTTTTGATTTATGCTTCTGTAAAGGGAATCATGTGTCTTGGTGGCAGACTGCCATTCATAAATAAGATGTCCGTTGCGTCCCTGGACATAGGCTCACTCACACAATCATGTACACACCCAGGATACGACCAGCATTTCATTAACAAGCATCAATTTGCCACCAAGATTTACATGATTTCCCTTAAACAAACATAGGTGGACAATAGGATTCTGGGTCCTGCAGTTCTTTGTGATCATGTCAGTATGGAAGAACTATATCACTGCTGCAGTATAGGAATATTGTGATGAATTTTCATTGAATCAATTCTTCTTTCTTTTTTTTCTTTTCTTTTTAAAAACATACTATACTGTTCCAGTTCCTATCTTTACATGTCCTTGGCTACTTTAGATGTGGAGAATTTGAATTTAAGCAGTCTTTTTCCTATTTGAGGGCAAAAGGAACTTTGCATCAAGAACTTCCACCAGCACTTGTGCAGAACAATGTTATGGTGTGTTACTGACTCCACACTTTGTTCAGAAATGAGTCAGTGTTTCTCTCTTTTTTATTAGCCCCACAATGTGCCTTCATAAGTTCTCATCAGAATAAGACAAAGCAGGTTAACATTTATAATGTAGTGGTTTTATTAATCTTCAGTTACAACAGAGGCACCTATTGCTAACTGAGCCCAGTTGTTTGGGGGGGGGTCATAGCTATATACTAAAGTTCATTCATACTAAAGTTCACTCATTATTTGAGTGAAATCATGCACTAATTAACAGTTATTTGAAGCAAAGTTACATTTTCAGTTGGGGTCACTATTGTCAAAATATAACTTTGTTTCATGAAAAAGAATAAAGTCACCTTTAAAGCACATCTAGTGGTGTTTTTTTTTTCTCCTTTTCTTTTTTCCCCCCAATGAGAACCTTTAATATATTCAAACTACATATCATTTCATTCACATGTAGATGTCATTCTTCAGTCATAGGCTACTGGGTATATGCTTCAGGATAGTAGTCCATGTTGATACTTACTGTGGAGAATTTTTATTGAAACAGTTTTTTTACATATACAAATGGCCTTGTCTGAGGTCCTACACCAGTCAACAACAAGCAGAACACTAAGTCTGCTTTATGCCTTGCTTACACCTTCTATTGGAACAGTGGTTAACCTGTAGTACTGGTTAGTACTACATTAACCCAAGGTACTTCACGGATTGCTGCCTTGTCGTGGCGAAGGGGCTTGAGTAATTCAGAGAAGTTATGGGTTATGCCGTGTAGGGACACCCAAGACGGACAGGTCATAGAGGAGAGTTCTGACTAAACACGATCCACCTGGAGCAAGAATTGGCAAGCCACTTCAGTATTTTTGCCAAGAAAACCTCATGAACAGAAACAAAAGGCTAAAAGATATGACACTGGAAGATGAGCCCCTCAGGACAGAAGGCATCCAACATGCTACAGAGGAAGAGCGGAGGACAAGTACAAGTAGCTCCAGAGCTAATATAGTGGTTGGGCCAAAGCTGAAAGGACGCTCAGCTGTGGACATGTCTAGAAGTGAAAGTGAAATCTGATGCTGCAAAGAAAAATACTGTATAGGAATCTGGAATGTAAGATCTATGAACCTTGGTAAGCTGGATGTGGTCAAGCAGGAAATAGCAAGAATAAACATTGACATTCTGGGCGTCAGTGAACTAAAATGGACGGCAATGGGCAAATTCAACTCAGACAATTATCATATCTACTATTGTGGGCAAGAATCCTGTAGAAGAGATGGAGTAGCCCTCATAGTCAACAAAAGAGTGGGAAAAGCTGTATTGGGAAACAATCTCAAAAATGATAGAATGATTTCAATATGAATCCAAGGCAGACCTTTCAGCATCACAGTAATCAAGTTTATGCACCAACCACCAATGCTGAAGAGGCTAAAATTGACCAATTCTATGAAGACTTACAACACCTTCTAGAACTGACACCAATGAAAGATGTTCTTC